GATTTTTTATATTTTATTTACTTGTAAAAAATACATTTAAAAAAAAAAGTCTCAGCTTCTATATTTATATATACGATAACTTATATACATCTCGTTTCTAGAAGTCATTAACTCTACATATATACCTACCTCAATTCCGTCAGATTCCACATAAATCAGTTACATAATATTTTTCATTTTAATTAGATAATATGTGAGTAAAATAACATTTATTTAATAAAACAAAACGATATTGATTAAACGATCCAGTAGGGATGGGCGATAGTACAATCGATATAACGATAGTTTAAAACTATCGATAGTTCGTATTCCCCACTTAGACACAAATTTATATACTTAAAGGAATAATTTTAATAACAAGCCTTCATTCTTCTACCCCTTTATTGATAAAATAACAAGGTAAAACTTAAATGTTTGATAATGGAAAACGGTTATTGTATAATGAAAACGGCACATTTAAAAAATAAATGGATAGAAATGTGAAGGCGTGTTTTAAACTATTCTTATTAGTATATAAAACTGGAATTAAATTAAATAAGAAGAAATATTGAGCAAGGCAAAAAAATAATCCAATCTCAAATTACTTCCTTAGAAATATTTTTACAACTCCAGTTGTGCCGATGGAAAAAATGTTACATTTAACTCACTTTTTTTTTTTCATAAAGAAATATAATTATAAAATCTACAAGGATGCAGTTTTATTATATTTTTAACTATTTAACAGGCATAGTTCTCGCCTCCTTTGTTTACCAAATAGTTAAAACTATAGTACCTATAAGTCGTCGATGTTTCTTGTTTGAATTCAATTCAAGGAAATAAATGCAATTTATTTTTCTATATAAATGTATTTTCTCATCAATAATTGGCTTAGTTATTTATTTAATAATTTTTATTAATGGCTTAACATAAATCTTTAAGAATGTATCCAACATAAACGTTAATTATTATAAAGCTTATGCAGCATTTTAAATAAAACAGCTCAAGAATACATCGAAAATAAATCATCTTTAAGTCTGTGTCGGAAAGTTACTAAACTATCGATGCTATAGACTATCGCGCATCCCTACGATCCAGGGATGTCTAGTTATCTTTTCTAAATATGTTCGAAATAAATCCAAATTTCAGAACCTTTTTAATAAATGTGTGAAAGAACTTACAAGAGGAATTAACAGCAACATTGCATGAATCAGCAGTGGTGATGGCAGCGTGTTGCCCATATTTAGGGATTTTCAATTATAATCCTTTTTTAGAGGTTTATTTTTTACTGGTTTAGTAATGTATTACTTAAATAATTAATAATTTTAATAATCAAAGAAATAAATAATTTTTATGCGAGCATTTATTAGTTTTCCTAATTTTTTTTTTTTTATGTTGGTTTCCAGAGTAATATATGTTGTGAATTAACCTTTTAATTGTATTTAAAACTATCTAAATAATAGCTATATTTTTTCAGCAAATGTATTTTTATTTATTTATTAAATATTTCGACATTCTGTCACTTGGACATTGTTATAGTGAGGTGTATTCACACTATATGAACAAAAAAATATAAAATAAATAGAAGCAAAATAACAACTAAATAATGTGAAGTGTGTCAGGCAGGGTTGCGCAAATACTAATCTGAGTACAAAGTATTTTACTCAAATACTGACCTTTTTTAAGTGCCAAAGAATTCAATTACTGTTTCAGTTGATGTCATTCGATTAACTGAAGTAGTGATTGAATTCCCAATAGTGAATAAATTTGAGTAAAATACTTTGAACTCGGTAGCCGAAGTACCATTTGCACATCGAGGATGGCTACCAGACAGTTAAAATAAAATTCCCTGAAATTTCCCTATTGAATGATAGTTTTCACTGAACAATGTGGCTGGGGCAGTGTAGGACGTTATTCGAATTTTCATACACTTTTCCTCTTTTATCGAGGGAATAAAGGATCGGTTTTTCACCCAAAAACTGTTTAGAAGGCCAATGGAAACAGGAATGGTACACATTTTCAGAATTCTCATTCGCTTTTCCTCTTTTATCTCGGGAATAAAGGATCAGTTTTTCACCTTTCCAACAATATTTCGGTTATGTAGAGGTAGGCGAAAATGGTGTTGATAATTTTTCGAATTTCCTTTTGCTTTTCCTTTTTTATCCCGTGAACGAATGATCGGTTTCTTACTCTTCCAACCATTTTTATGTTATGTAGAAAATAGGCGGTAATATGGAATAGGTAGGCGAAAATGAGTAAATGGTGTAAACAATTTTCTAGTGTACTTAGTAATGGATTATGAAATTTTGATTATTCTTCTATAAGTTTTCTACACATGAATTGCAGGTAACATTCGTCTAATTTAACTATTTTAATTCTACATTAATTTTCTAATAGATAAATATTGCTCAAAGTTATTCTTATTTACTAGTTGTATTTTTAATGTAATACAGTTGTAAATTTCAATGAACATGTTTAAAAAAAAGTTTATTCTATTCATTTAATTTATGGAGACTAACTATTCATCAATAATGACTTTATATTTATTTATACGTAGATTTTTAGTCTCATAAATAAATTTCAGCAATACGTATTCATAAGAAAATTATTGTATACTTTACTTAATCACTGTCTGGGCCCATAACCTTTGGGAATAACAGTTAAATGGGCAAACAAAATAATACACACTCATAGATTAAACATGTTTATTGAGCCTACTGTAACCGTGACATCGCCCAGACAGATTACTACAATCAATGCCTTCTTTATATAAAATACTTTCATACTCTTTTATCGAATTCCTAAAGAATAACATGGCATAAGTGGATTTTGGGGAGATCCATTTTAATTTTAATTTCAGCACAGAATGGCTAACTTTATTTAACAAAAAACAAAATAATACAAGAGTATGTAACGCTATAATAAACACAATTAAATTGAAAAGAAGGGTTTAGTAACGTCAACATAAACAGACAGATTTTTAAAAACCGGATTACTTTGTAGATGTCCAGATATTTCTATTTTTAATTTCAGAGCCAGTTGAGTCCACCTGTGAAAATATATGTAAGCCCGATATAGGATGAAGCCATTTATTGGAGTGAATTAGTAGTCTATGTGATATGTGTCTGTAATTGGAATATTATTTCTTTTAAATTTTGTATTTGTCTTCTCATTTATATTTACAGTCCTGAGAAAAAATATAACTAAAAAAAAATATTTCAATTAGTTTAACTCATTTATTTTGGAATCTGAGTAACAAATGATATTATTTAATGTAAACTGTGAATGACTAGTAACATTTTAATAAAAAATTTAATCACGTGGCTAGGATTAGCAACAACTGGGAAAAAATTACAAAACAAATCTGTGAAAAAGTATAAACTCAAAAATTGTCTGTTTCTTTAATGAGTAAATTAATTTCAATAATGAGAATTTCTACCATGTTCTTTTATCACCTCCAACAGTCTTTTGGAAACACTTCTTACTAAATTAATTAAAGTGCTCCTCTCCGGTATGTGTTCCCAAGCTTGTGGGATCCTTTCTTTGAGAGCATCAATATTTTGGATTTCTGGCTTCTGAAGGTGGTAGAATTCTCTAGCCATTATTTCCAACATATTTTAAATCGGATTGAGATCCGGTCTAAGAACTGTCGAATCCAAAACATTGATTCCGAAATCCGGAAACTGTTGTTTTGTAGAATCTGCGGGAACGGAATCTGTACAGAATCAGAAGCCTGATGCCTTCAATTCACTCTTGGGAATTTTGAAGTTTGCAACAGAACGCACTCCCTAACTTTTTACAAAATGATTTCTTCTACATCCAACATTGTAATACAGAACAAAAGGAACCCTTCTAAAACATTTTGATAACAAACAGCATTTATTTTGCCGAAAATGAATGGAATTTTAGACTCGCTTTACATAAAAAACGGGCCATAACCAATATTCCGCGACCCCAATGCAACATTCGTGACATTTTTTTTTCTTTTCTAAGGCCATGCCAGTAGTAATTAAAAGCATCTGGAATATCAACGTTAATTTTTTTTTCATCACTGAATTAAAGCTTGACCATTTTTTGCTATCTTGAATATGTCTTTCAGTAAACTGCAGTTGTGGCTGCAAATGTTTTTGATCTGCGGTTTTCTCACAACCGTACAATATATTAAGAACTTTGATTCAACTATCCACTTCCTCACATCCTAAATTGAATCGTCTCACAATCTGCGCAGAGGATGCTCCTGTTTTTAATATTTCTCTCAAAACCAAACTTTTCACACGATTAGAATATTTTGGAGGTCTTCCATTTCTTTTATTTTTCCCCATAATGGTCTAGACCGCAATTTAAAAAGTATTTGACTACTCCTTGGGAGCAGTTTAGCTCATGAGCAATTTGCATCTTGGTCATCCCATCTCTTGTTAGCTCCATTATCCTTTCTTGCTCAATTTCAGTTATTTGAGTTCCATGCGGAATTATATTAAAAAATAAGACTAATTCACACAAAGGAATACAGTATAAAAAATTAAACGATCTATTCTTTTTAACAGTAGGAAGAAGAGACAATATTAATCCATTAATACACCGGACAATTTAAAACAAACATTGAGTTTATACTTATTCACAGCACAAACAAGAATTGTTTAAAATTAAAAAATCTGATGTTCGTAAATCAAACAGATCAAAGTGCGTTTGAAGCTTCTTATTGTGCAACGAATTTACTTTAAAACTTTATAATTTAATTTTATAAGTTGAGTTTATATTTTTTTCACTAGACTGCATGTGTATGTGTATATATATATATATATATATATATATATATATATATATATATATATATACACATATAATGTTATGTATATATAATTATGTTTTAGACAAACATTACTTTTGACCATTAACAATGGTTTAATGAAGAAAAAGAGATCTTTTTTAGTGGGAACAAATAAGATCTATGAACTTACACCATATTTCAAATATGAATAATAATATATTTATATATTATTATTATAAAAATAATAATAATATAAATAAATAATATAAACAAATAAAATACTTACATTTTGCTATGTTATAATTTCAATCTTTAATTGCAGATTTTATTTTAAATCAAATAAACTATTAAAAAATTAATAGGGATGTGTTGTTAAACTTTACGTAAAAGTTATAATCATGATTAGTAATGTAAATCTTAGGGAAGAGGTTTACAAAACAAACTGTTCAGAAAATATTATTATTCATACATTTTAAAAAATACAATAAATTTAATTTTTAAAAAGAACTTAATTTTTGTAGCGAGTGATATAAAATGTACGTTTGTTTCCTCAACAGCCGTGTTTCGTTGGGGGTAAGAGAGGTTTCAGATTTCGGGCAGCTCCATCCGAAAGCACCTTGTTGCACCAAAACAATCTTGGTTGAGAATGGCATCACTGCTGGGCTCCCTATAGGAATTTAAGAGGACAATTTTTGATTGAACAGTGTTCACTCGTTAGCACGTTGCAGCTGTAACCTACCTGCCTAACAGTGAAGAATGAATATATTTTTCAATACGATCAAATTTCTATTCTACTAAGGAATAGTGACCCTTTGGAGCCACTACCTGGTTTTACTAACATTTCCTGTTTCCCTTCGATGCTTTATTAATAGCTAAACTACACTATGTGAAAAGCGCAATATTCCATTATATTTCTTCCAGTATGAAAACAAATAATGGACCTCAAAATAATAATTGTGTTTATTCCCAATGAAAGATGTTAAATTTATTGTTGAATTACACGCTGAAATGTTTATATAAATATGAACTGACTTTGTATTTATAAATAATATTTTTAAAAGGCTGCTTGTGTGTACACCAGTGCCTTTTACCCATATCTCAATAATGGGAATTGATCCATATGTTTTAGATGGTGACTAACTAAACCTTTATGTCAATGATTAAAAAACGAAGATTTTCTGAAAGTGTAATCCAATAGGAGGATGATAAAAAAATCAATAATAATTTGTAATAAATTTAATATTTTATAAACAATTTAAATAAAAACAACACCATGATTCTATGAAAACAGAACTTTGCATGGTTCAGCCGCTTTAAGTTGCCATAAAATGGTTTTAACAAAGATTAATTCTACTTCCATTTAGAGAAAAGTTTTCTATGCTACCACGGGTAAATACTTAAATCACAAATCTTTTTAATTATCGCTTCCAATTCAATAAAAAATGTCTTAGTTTTTCAAAAAAACACTAAACTTAAATTTCCTGCATTGTTTTGCGGAATCAAACCAGGGTCTATAAGAAACTTTTTTGTACAATAAATTTGAGCAGATGGTTAATTATTCATTCATTCAAACCTAGTATTGTTGAAATATAACCTGTTTACCTAAATTTTTTAGGTAAACTTAACTAACGTTAATAAGTTAAGAAAAATGGAGAGCGTGTCTGTTGAAGTGTTATCTGCTTTAGTATTAGTAGAATCTGACCTAAACGAATTGAAATTTAATTCGTAGCGGACCCATCCAATAGATCTTTACTTTCCAATACGTAGGGTAACCTGTCCTTCCTGCCTTAGTTGGAGAGCTGAAAGTCACTAAGCCAAACTAAGCCACCAAAGCTGAGCAAAACAACATCTTTCAGAACCAATGTATTATTATAACTGGGGTGAGGAATTTGAAAATTAGCAATTCCATTATTTTATATTTGTCATAGCTCACAGTTGGACAGATAACCAATGTAGGCGGAAAAAACTCTAACACCCTAATATAAACGAAAAAGTATGGACATACATAAAAAACAATTAAGTGGAGGCAACTCACACCGACCGAGCGAAGGACTGATGACCCTACCACGTGTACGTAAATCGGGAATCAGGATATGGTTTGCCAGGGTGTTAGTAGCCTATGGACGGTCTGTTTCGGGGAAAGAAATATAGATCCTCGAGCGCCTGCTGACTCTGAGCAGCCATAATCCATAGATCTAGACTGATTTACCACTGTTCTTGAACTCGAGTGAGTCGGTGGGAAGGACACTGCCAGATTGGCCCTAAAGGGATCGGCTTTGGAGCAACGGGTTGCCTGTCGTTGCACCAAGGAGACCATGGTTCGTAGTGACGTGAGGTTGGGTGACCCCCTCCAGCCGATCTGTGCTCCCGCAAGCAACATACGTCAGTAAGGAGCCCACATCTCGCGGCCAAAGATCTTCATAGTCTGTAGCGAAAACGGAAAAAAAGAAAGAATTATTCTTTTTTCTGGGAAGTTGTCTAATATTCTTAGTTATTTGGCAATAATTACTTCCAATTGGTAACAATTGAATATATTTCTTATATTATCAACGTTACATGTTAAAGATAGATGGAGCACATTATTATTATTTTTAAGGTAATTACAAATTTATTGTAACAACAAAATTCTAGCATGCTATATATGCTATACTATATTTTGATTCAAACATTTTTTTTTAGCCTTGCATCCACAAGATTATTGGGATTGTAGTTCTGAAGCTGGGAGTAAATATCCCGAAACGTCAACTTGTTAACATGTAACGTTGATAATATAAGAAAGAATTATAGAATAGTAATGTTATGTATATACATAATGTGGTGATGGATTGTTTTAAAAAAAACTTTAGGCCGTTTTATCCCTAAAGAAAAATTTTATTTAACATTAATAACAAAAATTAATTAGTAATGAATAATAGTTAACAATATTTATAATTTGCGAATTACCTGGAGAAAAATCGGTATTTAAAGTTTGTTGTATTACTGGGAAATATAAATGATTGAACTATACAGCTTTTCATTACAAAATAAATTTATCTAAACTTAATAACCTCACAGTCTTGTAATCTCACACCATGTGCTTAAAGAACATATGTTAAATAAAACAATTGCTCATAAGATCTACCACCATTTAACATTAAAAGTGAGCAATTCACTTTTACACCCATACATACATACATACATACATACATACATACATACATACATACATATATATATATATATATATATATATATATATATATATATATATATATATATATATATATGTATACGTATATGTACATTTTTAATATATAAAAAGAACATTTTTTTTTCTGTTGGCATTGCAGACCATGTAGATCTTTTGCCGCCTTAACAAGCCTGCTCCATCTCTGCCAGTTTTGGGCTATTTCTTTCCATTTATCCCCATGCAGCTCTATTGCATCTTTGTTGAATCTATCTATCCATCTGCTTTTTGGTCTTCCATGTGGTCTATTGCCTTCTATTGAGGTATTCATTGTTACGTAGAGGATTCCAGATGGAGCTACATGTCCCACCCATCTTAACCTCCGTGCCTTCATATCATGGGATATTGATTGACCAGTTTCTGTAAGCAGTCCCTTATTGGTCTTTCTTCTCCATGTGTTAGTACTCTGATCCCAAAACACACCTGTCATCATGTGGAGGATTCTCTAAGGTGTGAGGATTCTGTAATAAATTTAATTCTTCCTTTTTCTTTCCTGAAAAGTACTTAAAAAAACAAGTATTTTCCCTAAACATCTTTCGGTTATGTTGATAACATATGTTGATTTAACAAAATATATTCTTGCACTCTTTCCTATGATAAGACCCAGCCCTGCAGTCCTTAATAATTTTTTTTTAAGTTATTCAATTTTATGCCCACTGATAATAGTGATATGTCTGAGAAAAATTTCGTAGAGGTATTTTGGGGTATATTTTAGACAATTAATTTTGAAGCTATAAAATTACTGTAATTTAGAGGACACAGAAATAAATAAGTTCATTGGTCAAATTATGAATTCATAATTTGATGAATGACTTACTTAAATGCTAGGCATCTATAGTTATCAATTAAAAATTATTATTGCAAAAAACAAAACATTAACTAGTGGTACTGAGCTTAAATGAAAGATAAGACAATAATTGAACAAAACATGAGCCATCAAATAAGCAGTTGTTTAGAGGACCGTATTTATCGCTGGGGGAACCCATAAATCAAAACAATTTATGATTATCTTCTAATTGAACATTCCTGTTATATCTCATTACATTGGATTTGAAAAATGTCAGCATTAATTTTTTCTACCTTGACTAGTCATTCATCCCACTTTGCAGCTGCTAGCCAAAGGTCATGGTTATGAATATACAACTGATGTTTCTTCTTCTTTTTTTTTTTTTGTCCTTGGATATGTTATGAATAAAAAAATAATTAAAATTATATTTACATGCATCAGGCAGACAATTTTGATTTAGCTGGTTTTGGAAGACCATTAAAAAAATCTGGTGAATACCATACAACTTGACTTACTAACCTTGGATTAGGTAGGTATTTTCATATATAGGGAAGTCAAAGTGAAAACGACAGTATAACTTCATTTAAAACAATTAATTACCGTGTTTTTCCCATTCATCGAATCTGATAAATTTATACGCTTGCATCACTTTCCATTTCCTCTTACGACTGTCTGTTGTACCAAATAATACTAATGATAGTGGGGAAAAATAGAACTTATGGAAAGAAACACTTAAGGTAAGTAAATATTGTATATTATTAGGTTTATATTAACAGATTCTAAAAATTTCGCGAGAAAACATTTTTAGAAAGTAATGGATAAGTAATATATAAAATTTAAACTAACAATATGAAAGCTCAGTACAGAGGGGTATCGAGTATCTGTAAAGGGAGAGGATCAGCAAATGTCAGGGCATTCTCCGCTGTTTTCCTATAGCTTCCAACTCTTATTCCTCCTTTAGTTACCAAACAACCTTCTTCATTTATTATATTTAACCATTTTTTATATCGGTTTACAATGTGAATTGGTTAATTATTTCAAATAAAAAAAATTAAAGGTACTTTAGAAAAAGAAATTTTAAGAAAAAATAAGCATTTAAACTCTGTTAGAGAACATAAATGAGAATAAGACCTACATTATTTTAAAATCTGTTCAAGTTTACACTGATATAATGAATTTAATCAAGATCGTTGGAGCCGTTATCAAGAAAATTGTAAAAATGTGAAAATTCGAAGATATCAAGTTGCACCTCCGATAAGACGATTTTGAAGAAAAATTTGCTGTAACATCGCAGGTATGTACAAACCTTAAATACGCAATTTCCGTAGTGTACGATTTTTTGTTTTTGAGCTACACTGTTCACACACACACACACACACACACACACACACACACACACACACACACACACACACACACACACACACACACACACACACACACAGACCATTTTGCGGGACTTTGTTATTTGGAAGGGGACCTCAAAACATGCATTTTCTTTGAATTTCAGATTTGAAAATTTTTGCGATTATAATACTTTCTCTTACTGAGAAAATAATATATTAATATAATTACATATAAACATAAGAGAAAGTAAAAGTATGTACTTAATTACATGATATTTAACCACATTTGTTTATTGTATTTAAAGTTTACTATATTTAGAGGGAGGTAGGTATCAAAAATGCATAAATACAAACAATAAAAATGATTTATAAATATAAAACTTTTTAAATAATCACAATTTCACTTTAGTACCTTATTCTTTACAATACAAAAAAAAGATTATATCACAATATTGTGAAGATAAGTTAATACAATACATTATAATGGCAAACCTTATAGAGTTAAAATATAGAAAGTAAAATTTAAAAACCTTACGATTCAGAAAGTAAAGATAAAAATAAATAAAAATAAACACTTGAAGAATAAAATTCAGATTATTGGAAATGTGAAATCCTTTCACATCATGATAATGCAATATAAAAATGTTTAAAAATAATAATAATAAACTGTTAAATGATATTCTACACCTCATAAATCCATTATTAATAAATTATTTTCTTTGATAATCAGTTGACGTTTCGGGATTGTGTCCACATTTTCAAAACATCCTATTAAAAAATCAGATAATCAATTTATAGCAACCTTTGCATCATAATTTGATAACCAATAACACTTAACTAATTACTTAGGTAATTAACAAATGTTTATCTTATATAAATATGTTTATATCAATAAAATGGTTAAACTATCCTGTTGTATTATTAAAACATTTTCCAATGGACTGGACATTAGATTAACTTGTCTACTACAATTCAGATCAGTCCTATAATGGATTTTGTGATATGTCTCAAGTAAATTCAATGTCTCATGTTTATTTTAATACAACCTTAATTTTCTATTAATCTATTTACATTTGTTAATGGTACCATGTTTTACCTCCAATATAATTAATCAATTAATATGACTTATGATCAATTTTTATTTATACAGTCTGCATAATGGCTATCTAAATTCCAAGAATAAGTTAATAGTTAACTGTTATTTTTATATTACTAATAAATTTCAATATATTTTGAAAATAATTTAGGATGAAAAAACTCTTATTAATATACATCTGGATAATGAAGAATATGAAATATTAAGTTTGGACGCACAATCATTATTCACTACATTCCGATAGATGGCAGAATAAAAAATCCTCGATGATAATCCAGGAGAAATTAAAAAGATCTATTAAATATAACAAAATAACTTAAATTTAAGATAATTTTGGATCAAATTTATTTATTTCAAATATAATAACGACTATAACAAGCAGTTATATGGACTGATAATGAGTGCAATGAAATTAATTAATTTAAATGAAATATATCATAACAAACTAATTTCCACACAATTGAAAAAAAAGGACCATTGCTAATTAAAGAGTGAATTGATGATTTAACGTTAATTTTGAAGAAGAATCAATAGAAGAAAGCACTAAAAATCTTTTAATACCTATAATTGTAGATCAGAATTCTCAAAAGAGAAAACTGTTAATGATAAAATTAGATTTGAGACAAAGAAGTATCCATGAGAAAATAAAAAATTAAATTAAATATATAAGACACAAAGGAAGTTATATTTGTCAACCTTACAAAAAAAAAAATCATCAAATGTACAAAAAAAGATACTTCAAGCAGTATAATATTTAATTTTTACTCAAATCATCCTTGAGTACAAATAATTAATAATGTAAAAACAAATATATTGACAGATAATTCCAATACTAATAAATGCACAAAATATATTAAGAGAAATATTTAATTAAATATTTTACCTAAATATTTAATTAAATATTTTACCTAAATATTTAATTAAATATTTTACCTAAATATTTAATTAAATATTTTAGCCTTAAATATTTAACTTATGAAACTTATTAATAAAATCTGGTATAGCATTTTAGAAAACGGGTGTGGTGAAATATATCCCGATAGCAAGTCTAGGATGGGCATGCAACTCCAAAGAAGCTGATCAGCACAAAACCGAGTGGAAAAAGAAAAGTGGGAAGACTGAAGCTGAGATGGATAGATGGAGTAAGTACTGATGACAGAATTCTTGGAATCAGGAACTGGTGGACGACTGCTCAGGACAGAGAAAAGTGGAGAATAACTCTTGAGGCAGCCAAGATCCAGTAATGGATTGTAAAGCTCGAGAGGATGATGATGATGATGATATATATTTATAAAGTAATTATATTTACTATATAATAATAAATTATAAGTACTATGTTATAATTTAACTATATAAATATTCCGATATTGTCTATATTTCGTTTACTTCCCATCTTTTCATCCATTATATATCAAAATTAACTCAAAACAAATTTCACTCTAAAATTGTTAGAATAAAAACATTTTACAAGGAATCTTACTGTTTTATTGTGACATTAATCTCTTGGTTGGGACTGATACTACACATATTTTAAACCATAAGCTATATACGGTAATCATCTTTTAAGACATATTGAATAGGTCAAGAATGATAAAATGAGAATACTAATATCTTACAACATTAGTATCAAGCAACATGGCTTGTCTCCTCCATCAGTGCCTTACAATTTTAGTAAGGGTTCAAATCACTAAGAGCGACAATGACAAGAGCCGTGGGAATCTATGTTCTCACTGAAAATGAGTTTCCTTTGTTAGTCAGCGAGAAAAATTTCCCGCGGTTTAAGGATTTCATATATGGATGGAAGACAGTGGTGGGGCCCACTCACTTCCGTATTGGTGCCTCCAGAAGAAGAGGACAAGAGCCAGGAAGACCTCCAGATTCTGGAAGCTAGGCCTAAACAAGAAGGAAGAAGATAGAACAGAAGAACTGTGTGCACATCTAGTAGTAGTGTGTTATTAAGTATTCATGCCTAAAACACATTATCGCAAACACCCGTATTGCCATTGTGGCATGGGAGGGTGGAATAAATAAATAGTAAGGGTTCAAATAGCAAACTTAAGGGGTGAGAATATATTAATAACTGAAGTTCAAAAATACCGTAAAAATATATTATACCCAGAGCCGGTCAGAACTAGAGGAGAGCAAAGAAGGCACTTGTCCAGAGCGGCAGAAGTTAAGAGGTGGCAAAATCAAGGTTTGCTCCTTCTTATTTGTCTATTAACATTTTAAAATAAATCTGTTGTTTTTATTTATCTCAAAACAGTGAGAATTTTTCAGTAAGCTAAATAGCCAGTTTAAACTGAATATCATACTTATAGGTAAGATGACTGAAGTTGAAACAAGAACTAAAAAAATTGAGGACTCCAATGGTGCACTTCATGAAATTTATGAGGATGCAGATAAAGCTCTCTTCAAGATAAAAATTGTAAATATACACGTATATTTAAGTATATATTTATAGCTGCATTGAATAGTTCAGTCAATGAGTGCTCGAAAAGGGGGTATAGAAGGAAATGGCGGGGACACAATTTTTGGCTTTGGGACATTGTTTGGATTAGTAAGGTGGTAAACATACTATAAGTCTCCACTCCTAGGTGGTGAGCCAGATGTGGTAGGGGGGGAGGGAGGAGAGCGCCTAGAAGGTTCCTTTTTTCGGCTTTTCTTTAAATTAGGAAAACTATCCATCTCATCAACAAAGACGTTCTAAAAAAAATTAAAGCTGATAAAATTTGCAATATGATTGATTATTTACCTTCTTTCGCTACCTCAATTAGTTTCCGAGATATCCATCCATAACTATCGCTAATTTGGATAAAAAAAAATGTTACCTCAAGTTTTTTACTGTATTTGACTAGCCAACTCTTGATTGCTTCGTTCTACGGTTAAGTCATGGGGGAGGAAAGTTTCTAATAACTAAATTTTCTTCAAGAACATATGTATTATTTTACTAATTTATCTCCAATAGTTTAAAAGTTAGATCAGTTATAACTTTATTTGTCAATTACAAGAATTTGTAGAAAAAAATAATTTTTATGATATACATTATTATATTGCTCTAACTATCTACATAGATCTCTACAGATAAGATAAGATACATAAATCTCTACATAGATACTCATATACACACACACACACACACACACACAAATATATATATATATATGTATTATTAAAAAAAATTCTACAAATTAAAAAACAATAATA